CCATAATTTTCATACTTTGCATTTTTTTTACATGTTATTCAAAATTTTGATATTTTCCCCCTAAGGTTGAACTAAAATTTTTTCATATATTAAAGCCATGTTTATTTCACCGATTTGAGTTTATAATTCAAGTTTTGCTATAGTAAAAAGTTCTTAAAAACAGTCATATCTATTTCTTTTGTTACAGTAAAAAACTCTCACATAAAGTTATATCTCAACTCGAATTAAAAACTCGAATCAGGAAACTAAACGTGCTCTAAGATTAGTTTTCCTATAAGGAATAAATACTCTAAAGACCCTATGCTAATTCAAATTATTTAAACACAATTTTCTTAGTCAAAGTTTGGTCAAAATATTGTATCCTTAATATCTTGAAATTTGTGTCGAAGCTGTGAAAAATTAAAGTTTCTTGTTTTTCTAAGATCTACAGCTTTTATGTTTTGAGCTTAATCAAATAGTAAATTGCACTGCACCTTAAACAATTCATTTTTTTGCATAATGTACCTTAAATTTTTAAGATATGTTTAGTTCGTTGATTCGAGTTGAGATGTGATTTTATGTGAAAGCATTTTACTGTAGTAAAAAAGTTAGATGTAACTATTTCTGAGAGTTTTTTACTGTAGCAAAACTTGAATTTTAAACTCGAATCGGTAAAATAAATAGTAATTTTTACAAACTACACCCTAAACTTTAAAATTAATTGCAATTGAAGTCTAATAACTAATTGTGTTATCAATTAATAGTTCAAAACACGAATTTACACGTGATATGATTTGAAAAATGACCAACTCTAACATTCAAAAACTGACTCCGCTGATAAAGAAGTCCTACAGGAAAAAGTCTCTTAGTTCACTACGTAAGGTCATGCCAATCTTAATAAAAGCCTTAATCTAGTATTCTCCAAGGATTTTATTCGCTTATATCACATCTCTTACTTTACCCTTATTTCATACATAATTTTGCTTAGTTCCCATGCAAAGAATTTGACTGAACTTTCCCCTTTTTTTTTCCTCATGCAAAATTCGCCCATGCCATCCTTTTTTTTTATTTTTTTTTATTTTTTATAATCAAGTTAGATATTGATCCTTGATTTCAAATTGCCTTGGATCTAGACCGTCGAGTTGGATTTCCCATAATTCCCTACTTATGCATTCTATTCAATTTGATGAGATTAACAGTGTTCATTTACACAACTTAAGTCATGATTTAGGTTGTGTATGTGAGAGAAAAATATTATAAAAAAAAATTAAATTTGAATTTATGTATGAAAAAAACACTGTCACAATATAACTTGAATCATAACTTGAGTCATAAAATAAACAAGGCCTAAATCACTCTTAAACTTCATCTGTTTAAGCATATTGCAGTATAGTTATACACTAACAACAAAATTTAACTTAATTCGTTGTAACAAAGAAATATCTGATACGTATTTCTAAACCTTTTTGTATTTGAGAGGAATTATCGGACTAAGCATTTTAAGGGCGCATTTGGAATTCGTTTTAAAATGATTTTATTTTTTATATGAAAATAAAAATTAAAACGTTTTCAATCTCAGACAGAAATCATTTTTAAAAATGCGTTTAGTAGTTTTATCAAGAGATTATTATTAGTGTAAAAAAAACTCATTAATGTCTCTCTTTCTCGCTCTGCTCGAGAGAAGAGAAAACAAAAATAAAAAATGAAAAAGGACTAAAAGTCGTTTTTCATTTCTCTCCTAATTTTACATTAAACTTAAAAATCATTTTTATTTTTGTTTTTTGTTTTTATTGCGTTAAACGATGTTTTAAAAACGTTTTCATTTTTTCTTTTTTAAAAAACATAAAAAATAAAAACATAATCAATTATAAACATGGCCATCTAAAATATCAAACACAAACACGTGTGAAAGATGGAAGGATGAGCAAATGAGCAAAATAAGGGAAAGCGCTTTTGAAAACAACTCTAACAGAAACAAATTAGACAAAATACATATATTAAAAAATAATAGATGAACGGATGATGAAAAAGAAACTTTTGAAAAAAAAAAGATTCAGAAAAAAAAAAAAAAAAATTGTTGCAGTAGAAAAACCCAACAACATAATTTAATAGAAGTAATCTTTTCTGAAAAATAATATTTCAAAGAAGCACATAGAACTTGAAATTGTAAAATAAACACGATCACATTTGAAAAACAGCAGCAAAATGGCAAAACAACGAGGAAAAAAAAACAGAATAGTAAAAAAAAACATTTTTCTCGAAAGAAATAAGAATGAAACATTTCAGTTGTGTTTGGTATGAGGGTTCAAACTATACGAGTTTAGAATTCGAGTTTTGCTACATTAAAAAGCTCTCATAAACAGTCACGTCAAACTTTTTTACTACAGTAAAAAGATCTCACATAAAATTCAATCTCAACTCAATTAAAAACTCGGATCAGCGAACTAAACGGATCCTTAGTTTTCAAAACCAGAACCATGATTCATGTTTTAAACTTGGGATCCAAATCATAATTCTGGAACCAGAATCAGAATCAAGGGTCTAAACTATCTAAAACCAAGGGGGTGTGGTTTTATTTTTTAGGGTGGTTCTAATTTACAATATTACATCAGGATTCAAACCTTAAACCAGAACCATCCAAACTAAACCTAGTTTTGAAAGACCATCTTTTTACTTTTTTCTAAACAAATAAATATTTGAACCAGAATCATAGTTCTAATTCTAAAACCCTCGTACCAAATGTTCCCTTCATTCCACCCTACTTTAGGGTGAAATGTGCGCAAAGCGCTAAGCGGCAATTGTCTTCCAAAATAATTGTTCATCAATTTCAAACATTAAATTGGTAAAATCATTATATTATCTGTTACTGTCTAAAATAAATACGAAATAAATGAAAACAAGCGACTCTATTTCATTAGAAGAATGGAGGATGAGGGATGGGAAATGTGAAGGAGAGAGATAGAAGGACGATGATATGAAGGATGAAGAGAATTATATTAATCTATAATATTATTTAGTAACAGAGAAGCAAAGTTAATATGATAGATAATAGCTATTTGTATAATCATAATAACTTCCATTTTACTCTTTCATAATAAAATTTTTAAGCGTGGTTCTATTTACACACTTCTTTTTACTCTCTACACCCCTTTCAAATTAAAATTTTTTATTACAAAAAACCCTTACATAAAATGACAAAAAAGAATAATACACTCAATTATATAATTAAATTTTATTACAAAAAAAACTAATAATAGGGGTTTTCTTCTCTCCACACATCCCATATATCCCATATGTCATATCCTTAAATTATAAACTATTGTTATTTTAATATCGATAAAAATCTAATTTTTAAGTTTCAATGACTTTTAAAAAATTACACGGAGATATGTTAAATTGTTCACCTCATATTTATATCTTTCTGTTAATCAAAGGCTATTCATTTTATTTTATTTTTATTTTTTACAAAGTCAGAGTGATGTGTTTTTCCCACTCGTTATGTTTTATTTTAACTTTAATTTCTATTAATTTCTATTTTCTTCTATGTAATATAAAATTTTCTCTTTTCCTTTGTTTTTAGTAGCTATCTATTATTTCCAACTCCATGCTTTCTTCTGTCTTGCAAGCTGCTTGTATTGGTTTTGTTTTTGGATCTGGTGAGCTTGCCTCCTAGTTTGGGAGTGCATTGCTCGTTTTTATTTTGCTTCTGAGTTGAATTGAATTTTTTTTCTACCAAAACAATAAAGAAAAAAAGAATAGAGAAATAGATAAATGATATATTAAAATAAAAATTAAGAAATAACATGGTGAGTGTGAAAAGAAAAATATAATGATTAAGAATTAAGAACTTATTACAATAATTAGTTAGGGTAGTTCAAGAATAATAAGGGTGTATAAAAAATAAAGTTAATAGTTTAAAAATAATGTGTGGTGTATAATTAAAAGGGGAGTGTAAAAAGTAAAAAAAGACTGAGGGTTTGTTCTTTTAGAGTTTAACTTGAATATAATTTTTAAGTTGAATTTAAATTATAACTTGAATTGAACTTGTAACTTAAGTTTGTATTTAGTTGTGTACCTTTGAGTTATGATTTGAGATAAGAATATTTTTGAATTTGTGTTTAAGTGAATCAAAACTTGAATTTGTATTTAGATAGTATTTTAATAAAAACTCAATGCTGATAAAAAATTTTAATAGGGTATATGGGTCGAGTTTTATTCGTCTTTTCGTTGTCAACGCATAGAAAAAAAATCATCTCAATCAGAATTAAAACGAAAAAGTTATAACATTTTTAAGAATAGAAAAAATACTGTTAATTAATTTGAATTCGAGTTTCTAAACTCGAGTTGAAGGGAAACTTGAACTCGAGTTTTAATCATAAACAGTTTAAACTCGAGTTTAAACTTAAAAGAACATAAACTCAAATAAAATTGTAACTCAAATTTCCTTTTTTTTTTTTAATTTTACACTCAAAAGAACAAGCCCTAAATGAATAACCCAATTTTCAATTATAAAATAGTTCCTTTTTACTTGATTTGAAGGATTTTGTCCCTTAGTGAACGGGATTCAAATATGTTGGTCCCATGGGATTTTCTTCCTCCATCTTTCTCCTCCTTTTTGTTTTTTTTTTGGTGCACCCGACACGTTCATTAATTATAGTTTAATTCTTTCTCAAGAAGTTACAATTTTTTTTTCTTTGATAAGAATCTAGTAACGGATCCACTTGCAGATATACAAAGCCAACAATAAAAAAAAGTAAATTTCTTCTTAAAAAATTAATAAAATAAATCACCGCAGAAAAAAAAGTCCTCCATAATATAATACAAAACGATTAATCTACGAAAAGGAAAGGATGATGTTACCTCCATTCGGTTTAGATTCTTTGACAAATTAACGCGAACCACAAGAGCAAAGTGCCAGTCCTGCTCCGCAATCATCACAAAATTTTTACCCACGAGCAGAAACCAATCGATACTTTGTTGAAGTCGACCAATCAATACTTTTTTGATGTTGACAAAGGAAATGTACAATTAAGCAATGGATGTCATGTTCCACTAGATGGGTCTCAAGTTCAAAGGTTAGACCCTAAAACTACTAGTACACAAACCGATTGTGATACATCTGACCATGTCAACCATTGGTGATAGGACTCCTAATTCTCAAGAAATCAAAGAACCATCACAGGATTAGTACACAACAAGAAGTTACCTGGCTGTGTGGAGTCTGCCATAATAAGAGAGGCGTTCGCATCTCTTGCATTATTAGCCACGTTTTATATATGTGGCAGTCTTCTTCTTCTTACGATACTTCATCAAGATCAAGGATTTGCCACCCCTCCGACCTCAGAATTACTTATACAATCTTCGAAACAGGTTCCCAATTATGGAGAATCAATCAAATTGAAACTAGGAAAAATAAAAAACGTCTAGGATGATTTATGACTACATGCTTGCAATGGCATTGAAAACCATAAGGAGAATAATGCAAATTCCGCCTACAAGGGTGCATTGATTAGATATCTTCTCTCGTACAAGCCGGTTATTTGATCAGCCACAGCCCACATAATCGCCTGACCAGGAGGGATCCTCATGAGCCGGGGCAGTAGTCCTTTCCACAAGGCACGGAGCCCTTCTTCCGCATAAATTGTCCTGATAGCGTGGATCATTCCTTTGTACTTCAAATCGCCCCCATCTCGGGTCTGAGCCATCAGCCTGGTTTTCACAACATCAAAGGGGCCAGTACACAATGGACCTGCTGTACCTGCAAGGAATCCCGATATCATTGACTGCCATGGTTGAAGGACTGTCCCATCTCCTTCATGTTTCTTCCACAAGAGTACATCATAAGCATTTTTAGCTGTAAACATGGCTGCCTGGTTTGTCCCATTGCGCATAACAGTTGGGGCAGCACCAGACCATAACCCACGGAGGCCCTCTTCCCGGATGATAGTACGAGCACAGTGTATGGGACCCTTGTACTTCAGAAGTTCAGGACTGAGTCCTCTCTGTTGCTGCAATCGGATCTTCACCACCTGCATGAATGAATTCCAACGATCCACTTAGCTTCCTCTCATGTTTTGAATCACAAACAGACACTTCATCTGTGAACTAATGTAACTTAGCATAAAAAAGTTACCAAACAATACCAACATGCTCTCATAAAATCAGGGGGAAGAAGAATTTGAGTTTCCATGCAACTACAAAAGAGCAGGAGACCAAAAGCTGTAACCTTACTCGAATCTCAAAGGTGTTCATCATTCTTATTATTTTTTCTACTTTATCCTAATTCAAGGCTTTTGGGTGTGCAACGAAAATTTGAGTAGGGGATTAAGATACAAAAATCTGAAGCTTGCAGAACTTCATTTTTCTAGCAATTACATGCTATGATTCTCCAAAGACTTTTTAGCAATCAATTATTATTCACTAAGACAAGAGTTGATTTGAGTTACACTATCTATGTTTCTCTAAGATCATTTACAATTTAACGTTTTCTTTTTTCTCACTTTCATGTCTGCTGTTGCTTTCATGTATGGAGTGCATCAAAAATCTCATTGCTCACAATATCGACAGAAAAACATAGAAAAAAGTAGGATAAATTAGGAAAAACAGCATAATAAAGAAAGAAAAATACACGGACCTCCCTGCATTCAACATTGAGGTCTAGAGTTTCTGAGTTTGAAGCCCAAGACCTTTTTTTTAAAAAAAAAAAAAAAAAAAAAAAAAAAAAAAAACTGAAATGGTTCCCTATATACTTCAAAATGTTGATATGTAGTATTTCCAAAAGAAAAAAAAAAAAAAAAACTGAAATGGTTCCCTATATACTTCAAAATGTTGATATGTAGTATTTCCAAAAGAAAAAAAAAAAAAAAAACTGAAATGGTTCCCTATATACTTCAAAATGTTGATATGTAGTATTTCCAAATGAAAAAAAAAAAAAAAAAAGCAAGCGTTCAATATTTAGTTCTGTACATTTTAATATTCACCATGAAGTGCCAATCAACAGATTTCAAAATTGCAGCCATTACAAAGAGGGACGGACAGAAATACACCCAGATTGATTCCCATAACTTTGATACTGCAATCATGACAGGGTACTTAGGCCTTCTTTGACATATTTTCATATTTTCTTTTTCTTTTTCTTTTCTCTCAGAGATCTTCAAGGTCTCCAAAACTGACCGACAAAAAACACAAAGGACCATGATTATTGATTATGACGTTTGAAATTCAATTTTTTTGTGAGAGAAAAACACTGTAGCAGAATGAATGCTTTAAGTTTGAGTATATGAAACAAATGAGCCCTTAGTGTTGACATGCAATGGGAACCACAAGTGCCACCTAATGTTACTTATGACGCATTCAAGAAGTAATACCCCACGTAGTGCATCTCATACACCCCCAATATCCCAACCCAGATCACTGTTCATAGATTTGTTTATCTTGCATTTCTCTACAAAACCAAGCTCCCAATTCTCCTAGAATTAAATACAAGAAATTTTCAACCACAAAGTGAGCAATTTCCAATTTAAAATAAATAAATGAAATAAGGGATTTTCCTAGCCTTAGCAAAACCAAGACCCACCTAATATGTTCAAACACAACAAAACAAACTAATAGGACAACACAAGAAAAATATGACAAATATACATATTAATATGTATATATACTTACAAATATGTGTGTGTGTGTGTAATGAATAAAATGTATGTATTAACACAATAGAAAACACATGTTCGTCCTAGTACTAGTATAATCATTGGGCAAGAACAAGTAGTAAAAGGCCCAACATGGCGCATCTGCAAACCTCCCACCAAACCCCTTTTCAGTTGCACTGTTCATCAATTATTTTACCCACCATTCCTGACAACACCAACCCACGTTTTTTGTAACAATAATTTTCCCAGTCCTAAATGCAAAACAAAATAATCTTTTATAAAAAACCACACGTGAAGTCAGCAATTTTCCATGAGGAACCCCAAAGCCAAAACCCACCAAACAAATACATGCAAAAAGGAACTCGATTAAACATATATGCATTTCTTTAAAAGATCCAATTCGGAGAAATTACTTAAGAATAATAGTGGAAGTTTTTTATTGTTGAAAAGATCAAGCCAAACAAAAATTAAACTAATAAAGAATTTGACGAGCCTAACAAAACAAAACCAAATCGAATCAAAACGAACAGATATATGTTTGCAGAATTGCACGGACCTCGAAAGGCGTAACGATGACGAGAGCCTCGAGAACTCCGGCGCCGAAGCCAGAGAGGACGCGGCCATGGTTGCTGACCTTGCCGGTCTGGGAATCCTTGAAAGCGCTCTGGAGGACGGCGTTGGAGCCCATGCGAAGCGCGTACTTCAAGGTCAGGTGAGTCGAGAAAGGGGTAAGCCCCTTCCAGAGGGCCCGCACGCCCTCGGTTCGCGCAACGGTCGCGCCGCAGTGGATAATTCCTTTGTAGGCCCCACTCCGATCGAGCTGCAGCCGCGTCTTGATCACGTCGATGGGCTGCAGACAGCACGCCTCCACGATTCCGCCCAGCGACCCCGACACAGCTTTCATGTGCGGCGGGATCGACTTCTGGGGAGTTCTGCCATTGTTGAGCCCATTTTCTTGGTGCACCGTCATGGTTAAGAATTAGGGATTTTTTTTTCTATTTTTAATTTTTCTGGAGAAATGAGAAAGAGAAGAGAGAATTTTCTTCTCTTCTTCTCTTACTCTAATTCATCATTACATCCGCAGCCCAGGCAATATATATGAAGGGCGGGGCACATGAGCCGACGCGTCCAATGTACGGCGCCCCAAAATATTGAACAAATATCTCTTCTATTTCTTCTATAAAATAATGGTAATAGTAATAATAATACAGCTTAGACCTGTTGAATTCGATGTGTTAATATGTAATTTTATATTAGAAGTTTTTATTGTAATAAAAAAAATTAAGATTTTATTTATTTTATTAATTTAATTATAATAAATTTTTTTTTAAAACAGTCATATTTAATTTTTTATTATAATAAAAAAAATTTATATAAAATTATATTTTAATTTAAATTAAAATTTTAAATTAATGAACTAAACTTCAAATGGAAGAAATAAACAAGCCTTTATCGTTACGCAAATTCCAATTTCCAGGTGGCTGCTTCCTCGTGGATAGAAGAAAGAAAAAAGAAAAAGTTCTGGGGCTGTTGCGTGAATGTACCCCTTTTTTTTTTTTTTTTTTTTTTTAAAGGAGGTGCTCCGCACACAGTTGCTTAGCACGACCTGTGTGAATTGATGACACCTGTGCCTACGCCTGACAAGGTCTATATCCGTACACAAGGGCTCCAAATGGATTATGGGTCCAATCGGGTCTAACAATAAACTATATAAGAAGACGTTTAGTTGGAAGATTTAAATTATGTGATTTAAATTATTTTTAATTTATGTGTATTTTTTATGAAAAAAAATATTATAATAAATTATGAATTATAATTTAAACTCGAAAATAAATTCTTCTACTAAACATTCTCTAAATAGCTCACATGTATTTATTAAGGTATGAATAATTTCTCCACCTAATTCTGCCGACTCATTTCTCGCACCTAATTAGAACGCTAACTAGAGCGTTGGAGTGTCCAATTGGTGCAAGATAACTCAAAAGCTGCTCCTGAGGACCCGACCAGTTCGAGTAGAGGAGGAGAGTCTGAACACTGCACGAGAGTGTTGAGTCATCAAAGACATCAACGTTTAATATTTAGTTATTACATTTTTTAAAATATCAAAACCTCATAAAAAGATGAGCATATTTTGTGAATTCGTTTAAATATATGTATATATTTTTGAAGGTCTTTTTTGTGGTCCCCACCATGGCGGAAATTTCTCTCGCTAGATTAACATTACCGGTTAAATAATTGGTATAATTTTTTGTATTAAGTCGTAATAATTACTATTTTAAGAATTAAAAATTATTTTTAAGCATATGGTAAAAAATGACTATTATTCACTGCTCCAAATAAATATTTATGTATGACCGAATGTGCTTATAAAAAAAGAACATGACATATGTAATCTTTCATGACAATATTATTTAGGTTAAAAAATAAGAGTTGATTATGATGGAATGACTAACATTAACAGTAAAAACGACATATATAAATATTATTATCATATTAAAAATGACAGTCATTTATTGATGTATTTTTCAATATTATTCATGTAATTATTTATAATAATTGTGTATAATAGTCATTTATTATTATATATTTAAAAACAACTTCTAATTTTTAAAATAATAATTATTATAATTTAATATAAAAAAATTACGCTAATTTTTTAGCCGATAGTACATGGCCGATTATGATAACACATAATAGACTTTATTCCTCATTTTTTAACTTTGGGATTGTAGACAACTCTATATTTAAATTAGTCAAACAGATCGTGAGCTATCCCATCATCTATAGGGATCTGATGCACACATGTTAACATGGGAGTTGACTCCCGCGTTAATGTATATAGCGCTTCTTCTTTTAGAATAAAACTTAAAAAAAATTTGAACTCAAATTATAATTTTATTTAAATTCATATTTATTTATAAAATTTGAGTTTGAATTTGAGTTTGGGGTTAAAATTTGAGTTCAAGTTTCCCCTTCAATTCAAATTTTTAAACTCAAACTCAAGTTAATGAATAATATATTTTTTTTATTCTTAAAAACGTCATAATTTTTTCATTTTAATTCCGATTGAGATGATTTTTTTTCTATGCGTTAATAATGAATAGACGAATAAAACTCCACCCATATACTATATTAAAATTTTTCATCACCATTGAGTTTTTATTAAAATACTATCTAAATACAAATTCAAGTTTTAACCCACTCAAACACAAACTCAAATAGATTCTTAATTTAAATCATAACTCAAATGTGCACATCCAAACATAAACTCAAGTTACAACTTCAACTCAAATTTAACTCAAAATCTACTCTCAAGTCACCGTAACTCAAAAATACAACCGAACAAGTCCTATAATCTTTTTTATTGTTTAAATAAAAAATAATTAATGATATACAAAAGTGTCTTCGTTTTGCTTAAAAATGTCTTCTTTTTTGAGTTTCATTTAGAAAAGAGAGAATGGAAAAGAAAAAAGAGGTTTCACAAAATATTTATTTCTTCTCCTCTTTTGAAAGAAAAACTTTAGGGATTTCTTGTGTGATTCGGGTTCAAGCTAAGTGAAAGAAAAGTGATAATAATTTTCTTTGATAATGGTTTTTTTTTCTTTAAGGAAATTTCATTTACACTTAAAAATAGTATAATGTGAATCAGTATAAAGTTTTACCTTCAATTAAGATCGATTCTACCAGCACAAACTACAAACTAATAATTCTCAATGGGTAAAAGTACGTCAGAGGCTCGAAAACTACAAACTAAGAACAATAGCACAAAGGCCATCATATAGACTTCATGCTAGGGAATAAAATAAAAATTTAGAGTCCGTTTACTTCGCTGATTTGAGTTTGTAATTCGAGTTGAGATGTAATTTTTGGTGAGAGCTTTTTACTGTAATAAAAAAGTTAGATGTGACTATTTCTGAGAATTTTTTACTGTAGCAAAACTCGAATTCTAAATTCGAATCGGCGAAATGAACGGGCCTTTAGGCCTCGTTCACTTTGCGGATTCGAATTTTTAATTTAAGTTGAGATGTGATATTTTTTAAGAATATTTTACTGTAATAAAAAAGTTAGATGTGATATTTTCTGAGAACTTATTACTGTACAAATTTAAAACTGAAAATTTGAATCAGTAAAATGAACAAAACCTTAGAACGAGCTCACCCACATTTGCTAACTAGGAGGAACTTCGTCTTCACAGATTTGCCACCCCATTGAAACTAAAGTCTCCAAGGAAAAAAAAGAACACCGAGCATTAGCGCGCCACCGACCAAACCACAGACAGAAATGCTGCCTCTTTACTACTTTCGCTCGACGAACATCAAAGTCGCCTGGGTCTCAAGGATATTGGCGCCTGGATGCGGTCAGAAATAGAGAAAGCACGCATCAGACCCTCCCTCAAACGTCAACACGTCAAACAATCGCCTAAGCAACTCCCGTCTCGTCGCTCGGGCACCCCCAAAGAAGCTCAGAGACCAGCCCAAAAGCAGCGCCGGACTTCGGCCCTTTGAACTCTTCTGTTGAAGTGGTACAACTACACCAAAAAGAAAAACAAAGAAAACATAGCAGAGGGAAAGACATTTTTTTTTTTTTTTAACGCTTCTCTTTGACATTGATTTCCGAATTCAAATTTACTAATCATTTTTATTGTTGTAGTGCATAAGGTAACCAATTAATACTGAGTCATGGTCTGGTAGGATCTGTTGTGATAGAATTTTGCATCTAAGATCTTGTGCTATCAACAACCAATCTGTTCAAGATACGATTCCTTTTTCCTTCTTATATATTGTATGAGACGATCCATTGTAGGATTTTCCTCTGTGCTGCTCAAGTATGTGATTATTATGTGGTATAAAGTTTTTGTTATTCACACCTACTCTATAATCGATTGATTTTCTCCTTACACTATTAGTCTTTTTTTTTTTTTTTTTTTTAATTTTCTCACATTGGTACTTTTTGTTGGTTTAGAATTATTACATTGATTGTTTGATGTTTTGATAGCACTAAATAAGAATTCATAATTTGGAAAATACTCTTTGAGGACCTTATTTTCGTTTTTGTTTCGTACTTCAGGTAAAAAAGAAAACAGGTTTTAAAGTCTCAAAAAAATTTCCCAAACAAAAATTATCCGTTTATGAAGTCCAACATATATAGCAACCTGATCGTCGCAAATTCTTTAAAAAAAAAAAAGAAAATAAATTGAAAAACTTTAGTAACAGATACAATTCCAGAAGTGCGTGCTGATTCCTTCTCGAGACTTAATCGGTAGTCCATGCTTTGGATCTTCCTCTAGGCAAGGCTAGGGGCGGTGCAAAGGAGTGCACAACGATAAGTCGAGTTGGCGGGGCTGGTTAGGGGATTTTTTTATTATTTATTTTTTGAGAAATTTATTGAACTTATTTTTAAAGTGCACGAATCTATAATTTTATCCGTTATTCTTGATTAATATTATTTTAATTAATATAGTTATTTGATTAAAAAAGATATTAATTAAGAATAAAAGATAGAAATCGAAACTCATACTGAGGTATTTGTTAACTACCCTTATTATTATTATTATTATTATTATTATTTGAGATTTGGGTTCTTTCAATCGTAGGTTTTTTTCCTTTCCTTTTCATCATTTTTGGATTTTTTTAGGACTTATTGGATTGGCATTCTTTATCCTATCTAAGGTTTATTTTCTTAAGAGTAATTATTGTTATTATTTCTTTTGTATTGAAACGGCATAATTCTAAGAAAGCGTCCTCTTGGCGCTCATGGGGATTTTTGGTATTATTTAAAAATTGATATATTTATTCAGAAAATCTATAAAAATATAAAGTACCCAGATATAAAATAGTTTACCCATTTTTTTAACGGCAAACACCCATTTTATTTACTATAATGTGACACGATGACTGAAGTGACATATTTTGAATTAATTATAAAGAATTTTCATGAACTATGACCATTGTAATTAACCCTTTCTTTCTTTCTTTTTTTTTTTTAAAGCTTGTACCCTTGTAATTAACCCTTTCTGTTTTCTTAAAGCACAAGCTTTTAGAAAATAGTGTTAGAAATTCAAGTTTTTTTTTTTTTTTAAAAG